ATATCTGGGGTCTCATGGTACTGCAGCTGCCTAAGCTTGTATTTACTCTAAGACTTGCATTTCAGGCCTCTCTACAGTTAAGCTCCATAGCACAGCCTACAGTAATTCAGGATGATAACAAGCTCTGCTTCATGGGACTTAGTTTTCCGAGTGCTTAAAGCTGAAAGACTAAATGAGATTTCAGCATGGTTCAGAAGCTCGTACATCCAGAGGGGACCACGGAAGGGGCCTCAACTAGCTGCTTTATTCAACATACGCAGTACAGCAAACGACTCTTGAAGCCGGGAAGTAAACTTGACATCTCCCCACCGATATGTGGGGTATAGGAGAGAACGGAGAAGATTCTCTTCCATTAAATTTATTTGACAGATGGATAGCAGTTCATTTTATAGTGATATACATCATAACTATAGATATCTATGTACATGATTCAACTCTTTGGTAGGGATGACCTCCACCTTCTGCTCCCTTAATGGAAGGTGGAAGTCCAGATACCTGGAGCTGGGTGTTGGAAACAAGCTACCGCTGCCTGCCCCTATTCAACAACATACATGGTACCAAAGTCCTAAATCTAAGGAATCCCTTGTCCTTGGTATGCAGTTAAGCTCATCAGAGCCCTCAGGGAAGTCCTGGCTCTCTTTCTCCCTTCAAAACCTAAGATTTTCCCTTTTATTTGAATCCAAATGTTTTTAAATGCCACACAAGGGAAAACATTTAATCCCTTTGTTAGCTGAAAGGTAAAGGAGGCTTACCCTCCAGGGGAAGAGATGCTTGCACCAAAGGCTCTGGTACACTAAATATATCCATGGTTTAACAAAAGGCACATTACAACCCTAAAATAGACTGCAGCATTGCCCAGCTTCAATCGTTCCTCGCCAGGGTCAGGGCAGTTCAAGACCATATTTCAGAACTGCCAAAAAGACAACCATCCCTTTTAATGCTCCTCAAACACATAGGAATGGAGGCAACAAAATGTAGTCTAGTCATCCAACGGACCCCTGAAAAAGGGAACTCAAAAGCTGGAACTCGGGTAGACAGTCACTTACGTTGACATCAGTCAACAACAACACCTGAACCTTCGCTACTAAAGCAGAACACTCAGACCCAGGGAGGAGGGAAACAAGGGAAGGATAAAAGAAAGTTATGCCTTTCAACTGAAAGACCCTAAGGCCAATAAAGGAGTGGGGATGACAGACTCTGAAGGGATCTCCATCCAGTCCCTGCCAGGAAGGATGCTACCCTTGTTTGAAGGATTAGACTAAGTATAAAATGACAGACTACTGCTGCTCAGAGCAGGAAACAAGTGACCAACAGGTAGGGAAGAAGAAAGTGCTTTCCAAGTTAGTAGCCTGAAATGACTCTATAAACATTCAGCACATTGGCTAATTAGGACTTCAGACAGACAGAACAAGAATTCAGGATGCACAAACAGTGTTTTTCCACCTCTTTTTAGCTTTCCTTCCCCCCCAAGATGTTTTCCTATAGAGGCACTTTCTATATTACAGATCTTTGGAGAGGGAAGAAATTCCAGTTTTCCACTCTGATGAACAGAACACTCCCACAAATAAGCGACATTCAGAAGGAATTTTAATTAACAAAATGGTCCAGGAAAGGGGAGAGGGAACCCAAGAAACAGGCCATTGCTTCTTAAAGGTTGCATGTCAGTCACTAGGTACGCCTGCAAGCCCATGCACAGGAAACCATTTGGACCTTTGTCAGTGCAGAACTAGCCTCGGCTTCCAGAACCACTTCTACACTCCTTCCTTATATATGCTAAATATTATATACATATATAAAAAAAATACAAACTTGGGTTTGTTATAAAGTGGCTTCTCTCTCCTATGCTTGCTTGGCACATGAATGCATGCAAAGCTAGTAGGCTCCGAGGGCTGCACAAACAGCAGGTTTTGGCAACAAAAAAATCCCCAAAAAACAAAAGAAAAAAAACACAGCTAAAATAGATAAGCAAGATTAAAAGCCACTGAATTGAAAACCGTGTATTTTTTTTCTCCAATGGTATAGAATTAGGACTACAGCTACAACTTTTAAAACTTTAGAGTCTGTCATCCTCTCTCCCAACTCATGTCAAAGTTCATAGCAGCATAACACAAGATTCCTCAAGAAACGTCAAGCCAGTGTTCTCTGCTTCAGGAGTGAGTTCACGGGTCAAAGTTCAGTCTGTCCGAAGAATCATGGGGGGGTGCTCACTGTCTTCGTCCAGTCGCAGGGCGTTGGTTTCATCTTCCAAGCAAGCTCCACCCACTGCGCCCAGGTCCTCTGTATAGGCTGCAGAGAAAGAGACAGTGCTTAGGGATCAGCAGCACCACCAGAAGCTTGGATCCAAAAGGAAGCTCCTGATGGACCTTTCTAAACTGAATTATGAGACACTGGACATGCAAATGCTCCAGATTGCCACCCAACAGTGACAATCCTGATCCCCTCCTAACTTTTTGTACTCTACCCTTCCTCCCACAATGTTGTTGACATCACTGCATTCACCCTGGAAGACAAAATACGTAATCTCCACGGCTGTATCTTCTGCTACAGTATAACGCAAAAAGGTGGCAAGGACATTAAATGGTTGCATGCCTGGTCTCCACTCACTAAAAGAATCATCAGCAACATTCAAAACCTTATCTTGCCTGGTAGTACAGATAACTTATCAGAGAAGGGCAAATTGCCACCATAACAGCAGCAGTAATATTACAGCGCCCTCCACTATTCTCACAAAACATATACTGCTTTGGAGATGATTTACAGAAGCCAGTGTAGAGTTAGGACAGATAATACTCTGTCCTAACTCTTGTAGGGCAAATAATACTCTGGCATGCATCAATTGATGCATCTGCAGCAAAACCAAGGAGGTGATTCTTCCACTGTACTCAGCACTGGTGAGACCGCAGCTAGAGACTGCGTCCAGTTCTGGGCACTGCACTTCAACAAGGACGTGGACAAGCTTGAGAGAATCTAAAGAAGAGCCACCTGTATGATCAGGCTTAAAAGGCAAGCCATATGAGGAACAGCTGAGGGATCTGGGACTCTTCAGCCTGAGGAAAAGGCGGCTGAGAGGGGACCTGGTAGCAGCTTACTGCTACACCAGGGGAGGACATGAAGGGCTCGGTGAGCAACTGTTCACCAGGGCACCCGAGGGGAAAACCAGGAGTAACAGCCACAAACTCCTGGCTCAACATTAGAAAAAACTCCTTCACAGTCAGGGTGTCCGGACTGTGGAATAAGCTCCCTCCGGAGGTGGTGCAATCGCCTACCCTGGAAATCTTCAAGAGGAGACTAGACAGTCACCTTGCTGGGGTCACCTGACCCCCAGCTGTCTTTCCTGCCGGGTGCAGGGGGCTGACCCGATGATCTTCCAAGGTCCCTTCCGGCCTTACAATCTATGAATCTATGAAACTCCTGCACTTTGTAACCATGTACGATTAGGATACCATAATCCAAGGCAAGTGTTACAGGGGGATTTAAATGCAGCTGAATACCAAGTTCTGTCCAGAAAACTGCAAACATGAATGATCTCTCCAGCAACACCTCCAAAGTAGCTCACAGAGTCACTTAACAGCTACCCACTTTTCCAGCTGAGTAATGGAACAAATGCTTCATTACATTTACCAAGTCATAAAACCCCCAAATTGGAAGAACAAAAGCAGCTTCTAGACACAGGCAGCTTTGGAGCCTCTCTGTCCCCATCTTCTACCTTTGTTCTTACCATGCCTTGTGGGTGATGAAGGCACGTAAGTACCTTTAGTCACAGCGGCACTGTATGTCTGTGCTACTAATGGCCGGTCATGTGATGCAGACTCTAAAATTTCATTTGCTGGCTCCATACTGCCATCAAGCCTAGTAAGTAAAGAAAGAGTAGATGAACAGAAGTTGATCAAACCAGTCACCAATACAACTGCAGCTGCTACCACACAGGACAGCTGAGCAAGATAGCCACGTTAAGCAGGTAAGAGGCAATACAATCATTAAGAAAATCTTTTAACCAATTCCTTCTGTGGTTGCAGTCTGCTTTTCCATTTTCAGTGCCACACATTCACCTGCATGGTGACAGAAGTCACCTTCCAAAGGACTGCAGGGAAGGAATCTCGTTGCTAACACCTCACGTACACTCTGCTTCCCACATTTCCAAAGGAAGCCACAGTAATGTAAATTCTTCACAGTGTGCACCTTACTAGCAGCAGAAAGGGATTGCCACTAAAGGTACACGAGCAAATTTTGTTAGTGAGATGCAGCTAGTGCTGGAAAAAGGTTATTTTATTTATTTTTTTTTTAAGTAGTATAGCTGATGCTAGCCAAAAAAAAAAAGAGAGAGAAAAGATATACTAGGGTCTATACTATGCTTTTTGCTGGCATGGCTATTTAGCTACCATGGTTAATGGACAAAGCTATGCCAGTCAACTTTTCAAGACCTGCTCCACAAAGACTGGATGTTGCTCTGAAAGATATATTCTAGCAATCAGTTACAGGCCTGATGAAGGAATTACTGGATCCAATCCTATGATCTTAGTTAGGCAAGCAGTCTGGCAAGATGATCAGAACAGTATCTTCTTGCCCTACAGACTCACAGGGTTTTTTTCCATTACTCCATCAGTAAGAAGCTTTCCCAAACCATTTGGTAGAACTGCTAACTTAACAGGCTATTTGACTAGCTTATACTCAAGGGAGCCTAATAAATAAGCCTGTAATGAGACTATATAGATCAGAACATGGGCCAATTTCCTTTCCTATAAGAGTAAGGATAATGCCTCTTTCTCCATCTTTGAAAACCACTTCAGCAGGGGATAAAGTGTACCAGGAGCCAGGTATTTCACATTATTGTAAAAAAAAACTGAACTCCAATTGAGAGGAAATGGGAGCATATGGCTAACAGCAGATTGATTCTTCACTGCAATCACAAAGCATTACACTTGTACTGTTAAAGTGGTGATTTGTGTTGCAGTTATTAGAAAAGGCAGAGACCTTAAAAAAACAGTATAAAAAATGAGCTGCTACCTGGTATGAGGTTAGCAGCAAAGAAAAAAGTTTTAGCATCAAAAAAGAGATTTCATGGAAAACCAAAATGGAACAATTACATAGGTAAGAACTTTCTTGGGACTTACTTGTGCTGTTTCATTAGTGTGCACTCCCCTCCTTCTTGGGGGTCCAGGTTGTACATGTAGAGATAGCCATCAGCAGCTCCCACTAGTAAGCGAGGAATCTTCTGGATTCTAGGAGAAAAGACAATAGTTTTATTTCAGCAAAAAAGCCTCCAAACTCCAGAGAATCTAGGAGATCTCTTTCCACTCAATTATTCCCTTATTACAACTGAGCGTAGCAAGTAGGCAAGAGAGATCTTGTATCAACAGCTATACATCCTGTCATGGGAGCCCTGGCTATCAGGCACACAACTCCTGTGACATTAAATGGAAGCCATCTGTCAGTCTGATTTGCATCAATTAACTCCTAACTGGAGGCAGTGTTGCACAATGGCTAAAAGGGACAGGCATCAGATTTTCATTCCATTACCATTTCTGCTACTGACTCTCTCCAGACTCAGTAGAAGCCCATTACTCCATTTTACCTGGGGACGTACTTATCTAGTGTTGTGCTGTGAGGCTTAATTATTGTTTAGAGTGCGCTTCATGATCAAACAGCAGATGTATACAATTGAAAAGGTAAAAATGAAACCTGTAACTGAACAGCTCAGCACAAACTCCTTCGTTTTCCACAAAAAAATTACTACCACCCAGCTTCTTAGTTTGATAGCTCTGCCAAATGGTTCCATCTTTGCTGAAGGCATAATGGAAGCTAAATACGTTGAGTCATTTCAAATACCTTTTTAAATGAATGCTTTGCTTCTGTATACATATATTACCTAAATTTAACAGCTTGCCTTGGCAAGGTGCAAAAGCTAGAGTTTGCAATTACCTTAAAGCCCTCTCTATTGCCTAGTCAAGGTTGTCTAATCCAACAAACTATTAATACAAATGCACTAGTATACCATCCAGCACTAAGGAGAAAATATTGCAGAGGCCCATGAGCATTTTGAACACCCTGTCAAGATAAAGAGTTCCTGTAATCTCACAGCACCTCTGAAAAGCACTTCATTCCACATTGATCAAGCAGCACAAGGGTTCCTGTTAGATTATGGGAAACTGGTCTTCACAAGATGTCCTGGAGCAGGGGGAGGCCTTACAACATTCACACATTACTCAGCTCCTGATGTGTTCTGTGCATTACCCGTTCAGCTACAGATAAGATACATGCTCACACAAGCCAGATGAACTCTGGTCATATCTACAACAGCAGCACTTCCTTTGCTTGATATCGGCAGCCTAGCGGGGGATGCAAGAGGCTCTGATAGCCCCTGTACTCACGTGGCAAGTGAACAGATGTTTTTGTGCCCACAGAACGGCAGGCGGACCGTAGCAAAGGCTCTGCCCTGGTTAAACATTTCTGTGACCTGAGAAGGCAGATAGCTTGTTGAGGCCATCAGCACTTTCCCAAAGTAACCTGTCCAGGTAGTAGGCTCTTCCTGAGGTCTAAAATTCAGGGGGACAAAAAAAGAAAAGGAGAGTTCAGGTTCATGTTCTATTCTAGACACTACTAGAACTAACTCGCAAAGGGGAGAGGATGACTTAGGGCCTCTTAATGTACAGGGGTTCTCTTCTATTTGTTTTTCAACAGACATATCAATCTGATAAGAGTCTAGTACCCCCTCTTTTCACTTAGGGTGGAAACAGACGGCATCTGATGTCTCACTTGCGCTACTGTAAAAATGTTTATGGTAGCACAAATACCAAGGAAAGAGAGGTCAGCACCCTTTGCTGCCGTACAAGAAAGGCAAATCAGTGGTACAACGAAAGGTGGTAATAGAGACTCCGCTGCTTTATTGTGGCAGACATCTACTACCTCTGTGGCCAAAGAGTATGAGCAGCCTGAGCTGCTTGCATTCTCCTGCCACCCTAGGGCAGGTGCTCTGGTGGCCTGAAGGGCTATCAAGCCCCCTGAACACATGTCCCAAGTCAAATCACCCAAATCAATTCCAAATCCATGAGTCATTCAAGAACCATATGTGGCCCTGCTACCTGCAAGCATCTCCACCCCTGCCTGGGGCTTCAGATGCTTTCAAATCCTTTGGTGGGCATTCTACGTGCAGGCCCAAGCCCAAAGCCTTGGGGGTTGGACACCCCCAAGTTTTGCTTGCCCTCAACCATGTGGCTGCAGGAGCAAGCTAGGGAGGAGCCTCCCATTTCCGTAAAGTTGGGTGTATAGCTGAGATCGTCCCACTGAAAGTGGGAGTGGGACGCTATCTGTGCACTACCTCAGTCAGGGTACTACCCTGCCAAGAAACTGGTTTTCCCCTGAAACTAGGGAAACCACCTTAGTGGTCATGGCATTTCCCTGCTTACAGGGAGACACCCTGGGGGACAATGGGGTGTCTTTCCATAAGTAGGGA